AGGTAAATATATAAAGTTCAAAAACCTTTCCAATCTCTTCCAATTTATAGTATAAAATACCTTTATAAATTATAACCTTTATATCAATAAAAGTACATGAAAAACACTAAAAGATTGATCCTAACTAGGATTCCTAGGTTTCTTGTTTTCCAATTTCACCTTTCTATAACTTTATTTATTACTTAATCTATTTTAAACAAAAAAAATCTAAAAAGAAAGATCGATACAAAACCCCACTTTATTTTTTTAATCCATCAGGCTAATCCAAATAAGCAAAACTACGTATGGACTATGGATATTAGTTGAGAAAGAATAATCTTGAGGAGAAATGATAAAAATATATTATACTACGTATATGACAAAAAAGAACACACAAGCACCAAGAAGAATATAAGGTCTTGGAAAAATGGGTAAGCTAGAAAGAAAGCAGAATAACTACGAATTCATTCGGTAGTTGCGCCATCTTTTTCCCACACCGAATAATATAGCAAAGTACTGTCCAACGCTGGTTATATAATGAACCAACTTAACTTCTCAAAACTCAAGCAGCCATGCTTTGAGCACAAAGCGAACTATTCTTTCGCCTTTTACTAAAGAATACCGTGTGCGCGGCGTAATAAATGGCATACTCCCATTTTTGGAATGGGGACTTCCTCTTGGAAGGCACCACACAAATTTAGTAAAAATATTCCTTGTATCAATGCACTAGCTCTTTAATCTTGTGATAGTTCTTCGAGGGCTGTTGTTTGATGTTGTTATTGCATTGTTCATGTAGGTTCTCTACGTGATAAATTGTGTTTATAGTGGCTTCTCAAAAATTACATATTAATTAAAAATGCAGATAAAAGTATAATTTGAGAAATAAACTTGATAGGTATATAATTTAAGGAAATTAGTAATGATAATTGTGGTGTTATAAATGTATTGCTGTTAGGGATAACTACGGAAAATGTACATATGGTTGAACCCGTTTTCAGATATGTCTCATTTTTTAACAAAGTGGGTCCTGATATCAGATGCCGTTAGAAATCGCCGGAGGAAAATGATGATCAGTAACCCCAATTTCCAAAAGTGTTCGCAAAACTAAAAGAAAAATATTGAGAGGTGCGTCTCAACAAAACAATATCTAGGCCATCTTTCTTTAATAACGGTCGTCACTTGTAGCCAAGACTCTCCTATGATAACAAAGTTTACACACATGACTGGTTTAAAAAAAAGAAACACATGACCCTATCTGAAAACGGGTCCAACCACAAGTATATTTTCAGCACTTTTCCCCTATTTTTGATATTTGATCATTAAGTGGACATTTAAGAGTGTCAGTTGTTTCTTAAAATAGATATTAAAACATTTATATGAGACATTCTAAAAAGAAAAGTGAGAACCTTTATATGTGAGAACCAACAAAGAAGTATAGAGCAATAGTGCGCAGTTCGAGTGTTTAAATGAGTTACGAATAAACACAGACCAATGGCTACATTGTTTATAAGAGCTTATTTGATTACACATATTTTCAATTGACGGGTCAATTTTTATCACACACATAACATTTGATTTTACGCGTTAAATTGTATGATAACCAAATTAAGTATGATTGAAGTTACTTTTGTAGTTGAATTTACTAAAAAGATTGAGATGACTATTTTAGCTTTTTATCATTATTTTTTTTATTTCAGTAGTAAAATATAATTTAAATATAGAGGAAGCGGTCTAGCTAACTGGTCGCCGACTCACTCTCCCATATAGGAAGTCTCAGGTTCAAAAAACGGATAGAAGAGATCAAATTTTAAGTTGAAAATGTGGTGACATTTTGATAATTATGATGAACTTTAAATTAAAATATTGTAACAAATGTGTACTAGAACATGCAAAACATGCACATGTAGATCATAAAAGTGCATTAATGTATATAATAAAATATTCACAAGTTTTTAACATTTAAAATATGCAAATTATACAGTTTATACTATGAGCATTTGCACATTTTTTGTAGCGTGCCTTATGACCAAAGTTCATCTAATCCATCCATTTTCATGTGATTAAAGGAAAAGATTTGTTCTCACTTTTCACGGGAAGATTATTCTTTACTTGAACCAATTCACCCACACACACATAATATTTTCACAATTCTGCCAAATTTATCAAATTTAGTGTTACCAAACATGATCTAAATTTTCCCAAGAACCTTGCATAGCTACAAAGTATTATTAGAGTTATTTTTTTGAATGCTGCCAACTCATTTAATTACCACATCAGAGTTGAGATCAAATTCACCTTTACCAAACCAAACTTGTACAAGTGCAACGAATAAACTTGGGTTACGCGCACAGGTAGATCAATGGTTATTGAGTAGGCTGAAGATAAAATTGTATACGGTGCCTCAACGTCTCAGTTTAACCTTCCACAATCATTTAACGATCCTCCTGAAGCCTCGACTTCGTATCAGCCATATGTGGATGAAGATCAGAATTATCATGTTCCTCATATTGAAGATTTAGGTGAGAGATTTCAAGATGTTCTGAAAGCAGCCGATCAACCTCTCTATGTTGATTGTGAGGGATACCCTCAGGTATCTGCCGTTTCAGAGTTGCTTCAGGGCTGTTGCAGTCAATTGGAGGAATGCTACCACGTGACCACAGTCTTTCTGATACATATTAGAACATGAAGCAATTAATTTCTCAGTTAGGGCTTCCTTGTATAGAAATTGATGCGTGCCCTGAAGGATGTATGTTGTTCTGGAAGGATGATGAGACACTCGAGAGTTGCAAGTTCTGTGGTGGAGAGAGATACAAACCTGTTCCTCAAAGGAAAAAAACCATGAACAATGCCCGCATTATCTAAATTGCTTTACCTCCCACTTGCTCCACGTCTAAAGAGGATATATGCTTCAAATGCTACAGCGAGACACATGACATGACATGTTGAGCATGAAACCAAAGAGGGTTTGATGTCTCACCCTTCGGTCTCTGAAGCTTGGAGACACTTTGACCTGTGTCATCCTCAGTTTGCAATGGAGCCACGGAATATGCGACTGTGATTGTGTTCACGGATTCGCTCATTTTGGAAAGTTTGGGAAGCAATTTTCATGTTAGCCAGTCATGTTAACTCCTTACAATCTACCTCCCGACATGTGCATGAAAAGTCATTTCATCGTTTTGATTTTAATTTGTCCAGGTCCCTCAGATTCTAAAAAAAGGATATACATCTATCTGCAACCCCTGATCGAGGAGATGAAAGAACTTTGGGCCATTGGGACACCAACTTATGATGTTTCAAGAGATGAAATGTTTATCATGAAAGCTGCCATCATTTGGACCATTAGCAACTTCCCTACCTATGGTATGCTTTTAGGATGGAGCACACACGGTCTTATGGGATGTCCGATATGTATGGAGCAATCAGGTGCCAATTGGCTCAAATTTAGCGGGAAACCAAGTTATTTTGATTGTCACCGCAAATTACTCCCGACAAAGCATCAATATTGAAGGGACACAAAATCTTTCATTAACGGAAGAGTGGTACGAGACCCCCCACCCCCGAGACTTTCTGGCGAACAAATTTTTAACTGGGTTCGACGTATTCCTTTAGCAATGCAACAACCACACAATGTCACGCCCCAGACCTATCCGGACACGTCAACAATCCGCCGTACAATATGAATAGTCAACCATAGTCTAACTCATCCATATTATACAAGGCGTCTCGAATATCATTCACACATAAGTCATCCATAAACATACATAATAAGTAATTGAATACGCAGCGGAAATCATAGTTTGAAAACAAGTGCCACACGGGGCAAACACGAGCACGCAGGTCCCATAATGAAAAACAATATCCATGAGCATGTTTAAATTGTTTAAAAACAGAATGGAGGAAGCACGAACCAAGTCTTCCCTCCGAGATGATCGCCCGATCAACAAGCACAGGTAGCAAGCTCTAGCCTCAACCTAAAATGGTGGTGGGACGCCCCCCGAAAGGGGGTCAGTACTTTATACGGCTATAAAGTACTGGTGTGGATGGCATCTAATAGATACACAACAAGTATTTCAAACACAAGACCCTCAAATAGGGTGATAATATAATCTAGGCCGTAACCCCAAGTTACCCCTTTTCAAAATATACTTACTTTATATATAAAGTCAAGTAGTCGGCCCATGGCCCAATGTTCATTTACAAAACATAACCCAAACTCCGTGACCCCTAGTCACGACAATACATAGGGTTCAACCCTAACACACATGTTTGTATTCCTCGAGTCCAACTCGACTATATCACCATGCACATCATTCACAAGTCAATTACTCCACCAATCTCCGACGTCATGTTCACCCATGCAATTCTAGAGCATCGGGCTCAAGTACATCTCCTTACATGGGCTGAACCAAATCCTTATGTCTACCCAATGCAATTCTAGAGCATCGGGCTCAAGTACATCTCCTTGCATTGGCATAGACCCCAATTCCTAAGCACTCGCTATGCCTAGAATTGTAATATCAATAATCTATTTCGGGACATCCTTACGAACTGCCTCATCATGATCTTAGCATCATATTACATCAATTTAGTCACTTGAACCACAATCAAGTACATCACTTACAATCAAATCCTTAGATTCAATTCCTTAACAATTACAAACACTCATTAACTAGTATTCCAATACTATTAAGATTCTCCCCATCAATCATATATTTCATTTGTAAATCCCTACATATTTATAGATATGTAGCAGCAACTTTCTCATCCAATGTAATACACAATTAATCATTTATGTACCTACACAATTCACACATGAATAAAAATGCCTATTTCACACAATAGTTCATTTAACTCCATTTTTATCAATATGATTTCAAATCATTTGCAATTTCATTCCTTATCTAGTATATCAATATTTCATCAATATTCAGTCATTATAATCCATGAAAAACATGATTTAGGCATTTAGGTAGTCTCATGCTTAACCTACAAGTTGTAAGCAACTAGATGTCGATCCTCACCTTAAATGAGCTTTAAATTTTTCTTTCTTGATCCAATGGTCAAAGCTTCGGCCAAGGTGGTTTAAGAATTGATTCCTTGCTTAAAATTGAGTGTTACGAAGCCTCCTCACAGTGCTAGCTCAACCCCTAAACGTCGACATGAAAACAGTCCCTAGAACGGGTGTTTTCCGGCGAATTTGTTCCCTAACCTTTCAAGGATTTGTCTAGATTAGTATCTAACCTTTCCAAAAATAAAAGTTACTCTATAATAACATTTATACACTTAAACCAGTGTATAATAGTTCTTCAATCATTCATAGGATTTAGGCAATAGAAAGGAAGGTTTTGGATTCAAACTTACTTTGAATACCAAAAATGTATTGGTTGCGTTCTGTTCGGATGATTTGGAGGCCTTAAACTGCTCATTTTGACACAAACCGCACCTCTATGGATTCCTCTTTTGGAGATGTTTCTTTTGGCACCTCACACGCCTCGATTGGATGTGTATTTCTCAAGATACAACGCAAACAGTGAGCTCCACGAAATGGAATGAATCCATGTGGTCAGCTCTCCTTCTTCTTCCTTTTTCTTGGGTTGTGCGGCTCTCCCTTCCTCCTTAACCTTTTAGTTCAAATGGGGTGAGGGAGAGGTGTTTAGAAGCTCTCAAATGCTTATTCTCACATGTGGTTCACAAAAAATAGGTAGGGTGTTTGATTCCAATCAAACATGGGATGATCCTCCTCTTTTATTTCTCTTTTGTATTGTTTGAGCTTTCAACGCAATAGATCCGTTTCATTTATGTGATCTAACTTATCCTACCTGTTTTGCAGGTGCTAGGAAGGTGTAGGACGTACTCTCATGTCCCCTAATTAATTTGGGAGCAAAATTTCTACCAATACATCCAAAAAGGAAAGATGAGTCCTATTGTATTTGTCTTTTGTCATAACATGTACTTTTGTACTCTCCTCAATTTATTTAGAACAAGTCAACCTTCTACATCATATTATTGATATCTAATACGTGTAGAGTGGTCCCAATAATTTATTTGATGTACAATTACAAAAGAAAACCCTACTCCCATTATTTAGCCTAAAAATGCCAAAGATGGGACCAAAGGCATTTGTATTTTTCTCCATTCATTCCATCATTCATTTATGATATTAATATTTATATATCTGGGCTACCAACCTTGTGGGTCACCCACCAATGGGTCTAGGACGCCATTCTTGACAAATTACTATTTTTAGCAGGATGGGCCCAAAATAACATTTGGGCTGCCCGACCGAACTTACATTGTACCGAGGGGTTGTATATCTCTATTTAAGGATGTTGGGTCCCAATATCAATAATATGGCCTAATTAATTATTTAGAAGTCCATTACCATTATATGAGCTCAAATAGTAATATGATTAATCATATGTTCCGTAAAACTTTAATCGTTTTACAATTGTTCGAAAATAGGGAAATTCAATAGATAAGCTTTGAAATTAAATTTAAATTTCGTTCGGGTGTGGTGTCACACACAAGGATCTGAATTTTTAAATGAATTTGATATCTGAATTTTTATTAAAAATTGGGGGAAAATATTTTTATTTTTTTTTAAAATTAAAATGTTTGTCATGGACTCCGGCCGTTACAAAAGTTTAAACTTTTTAAAATTTTATAAAATTATTCCGGTATAAAACATTTTTTTAAATAAAAATATTTGTCACGGATGTTTTGCGTGACAAAGTGAAAATTTTGAATTCACAACGAATTTTCAACTTACCCACCCACCCTATTCTGTTTTTTTTTTAAATTCAAAAAATATTTGTCACGGATAAATCCGTGACAAAATGAAAATTTTGAATTCAAAACATTTCGACGTACCCGCCCAACCTATTTCAGAAATTTTTAAAAAACAAATCCAAAAAAGTTGGTCACGGATAAATCCGTGACAAATATAAACCGGCGTTGCCCCGGTAAGCTGTTTTGTCACGAAAATATGCCGTGACTAATCCGTGACAAACTTTGTCATGGTCCCGTAGCTGTGACAAATAGTTTGCCACACCTGATTTGTCAGTGTGTGTCCGTGACAAAATCCGTGACAAAAAAAATTTGTCACGTTTTTTTTGAACTGTTTGCCGTGAAATTCCGTGACAACCGGGCTGTGTTTTTGTAGTGTGTATTAGATGAGAACTTTCTCTTGCTTGTTTTCCAGTTGTGTTACTCACCATTAATGATTTTTAGTCATATTTTGATCAATCAAGTTTGTAGTCATATAATGGGAAATCTTCTCCCTTTTGATAATAATGCGGTAAATTTCCCTAAAATTAAAATTGATTGAACTATTTTTAACAAAGCAAGTTTCATTATTATATTAATGACAAAAAGCCATTGTATATCATACATTCAAAAAATGATTGATGTACATTGATAAATAAATATAATTATTAGGTAAATATATAAAGTTCAAAAACCTTTCCAATCTCTTTCAATTTATAGTATGAAATACCTTTATAAATTATAACCTTTATATAAAAAAAAGTACATGAAAAACACTAAAAGATTGATCCTAACTAGGATTCCTAGGTTTCTTGTTTTCCAATTTCACCTTTCTATAACTTTATTTATTACTTAATCTATTTCAAACAAAAAATACCTAAAAGAAAGATCGATACAAAACCCCACTTTATTTTTTTAATCCTTCACGCTAATCCAAATAAGCAAAACTACGTATGGACTATGGATATTAGTTGAGAAAGAATAATCTTGAGGAGAAATGACAAAAAAGAACAAACAAGCACCAAGAAAAATATAAGGTCTTGGAAAAATGGGTAAGCTAGAAAGAAAGCGGAATAGCTACGAATTCATTCGGTAGTTGCACCATCTTTTTCCCACACCGAATAATATAGCAAAGTACTGTCCAGCACTGGTTATATAATGAACCAACTTAACTTCACAAAACTCAAGAAGCCATGCGTTGAACACAAAGCGAACTATTCTTTCGCCTTTTACTAAAGAATACCGTGTGCACGGCGCAATAAATGGCATACTCCCATTTTTGGAATGGTGACTTCCTCTTGGAAGGCACTACACAAATTTAGTAATAATCTTCCTTGTATCAATGCATTAGCTCTTTAATCTTGTGATAGTTCTTCGAGGGCTGCTGTTTGATGTTGTTATTGCATTATTCATGTAGGTTCTCGACGTGATAAATTGGGTTTATAGTGGCTTCTCAAAGACTCAAAACAATGATACAGTTATTAAAAATTACATATTAATTAAAAATGCTGATAAAAGTATATTTTGAGAAATAAACATGATAGGTATATAATTTAGTGAAATTAATAATGATAATTGTGATTGTTGGTCCAAAATAGGACGCTCGTAGGCTTTTAGGAAAGCTACGTACGACACTCAAGCAAGAATTAGGAAAGTACGAATATGGAAAGTTAGCCAGAAATAGCATATCTGTATTTGAAATTCGAATTGCCTTTTATAGGCGATTACAAATGGTAACTGCCGAACATAAAAATGTCTAAATTAATTACAACATTAATACGGAATTAAACACATAATTAAGTCGCGCATTGATCGTTGGCCGTTACTTTTCCTGGCTGGCAGGCTGGACGCTTGAGCTCCCTCCTGCTGGACTGGACGGTGGGCTTCCCGCTAGGCTGGAGGAAGGCTTCTGACCGGGCTGGAGGCAGGCTCCCGGGTAGGCTGGAAGGCAGGCTCCCGAGTAGGCTGGAAGGCAGGCTCCCCGTTGGGCTGGAGGTAGGCTCCCACCTGGGCTGGACCGCAGGCTCCCAGTTGGGCTGGATCGCAGGCTCCCAGCGGGGCTGGTGGTCGGCAGGCTCCTGGCTAGGCTGGAAGGCAGGCTCCCCACTGGGCTGGAAGGCAGGCTCCCCACTGGGCTGGAAGGCAGGCTCCCCATTGGGCTGGTCGACAGGCTCTCTTGGGCTTCCGCTCCTTGATCGCCCTGATTGGTTGGGCCGACTCGGGCTCTAGGTTGTTGGACTTGGGCCCGCTGGTCCGAGTTCGGGGCCTGGGCCGATTAGGCTCTGGGCCTGGTCCCATAACCCCATCAGTGATGTTATAAATGTATTATTGTTAGGGATAACTACGGAAAATGTACATATGGTTGGACCTGTTTTCATATATGTCTCATTTTTTAACAAAGTGAGCCTTGTGTTTAAACTCCATAATCACGAGAGGGTCCTGACGGCAGATGCCGTTAGAAATCGCCGGAGGAAGATGATGAACAGTAACCAAGTCCAAGAGGAATTATTCTCAATTTCCACAACGGCCCACACAATCGGATACATTTGATTATTTGTGTCCCTTCCAACGGCTGTAAGAATTTCTCCCTTGAGCTGCCCTTTAAGAAAACAACCATCCACCCCAATTACCTGTTTACACCCATTAAGAAATCCATTTTTCACTGGTCCAAATCATATGTAAATTCTCTGGAACATACATGGACCATCAGGGACAACCCTCACAGTCTTAACAACAACAGTGCTCCCAGGTATTGACTTCAAGCACTCCTTAGCATAATTCCTAACTCTCTTAAACTGATCTTTAAATGCAGACTTTGTCTTTTCTTGTATTCCCCTTACGGCTCTAGTAGCCATGCTAATACAAATATTAAAGTTTAGTTCTGCTTTAACTAAGGCTTTGAACTCTACAGCACCAATGCATGGATATTCAGTGACCTTGTCTTCAAATCTTTCCTCTAACCATTTTCGGCTAACGATCTTCTGTTTGAACTTAGAATTGCACAAATGCTCACTTTTCAACACCTTCACTTGAAAGCATTTCAGACGCCTCTCCCAACTGGCAGTACAACGAAAAGGACAGGTGACACCACACTTCACCCTTACCCTTGTAGGCTCATTTTTAATAAAATGAATGTCTTTTTTGTTATGCACTGCATACCGTATGATAGCATCCTTAAACTGCCTACCATCTTCAAAGAGCATGGCCAACTCTACTGAAGGAGGATCAGATTGAGGGTTATATGAAGAATGGATGGGTTTCTTTCTTTTAGGCTTAACAACTCCACTTTCTGACTCCTCATCTGAGTCCAAGCTACATGGATTATCTGAGTCATATTTTGTACTACAGTATTCAGAATAGCACATTCTTAGTTCAACCCTGTCAAACATTCTGAAAAGCACGTGGTTGGTTGGTATGACTTCTAGTGAGCATATAAAGATTAACATGATATAGCTTACTCTAATCACTTAATAAAGAACATAACGACATCAAAAGGAATGTAAGCACTGATTCTGCCCATTAAATGTTCAACAAATCAACAAACAAACCAATCACAAATGGGTCCCAAAGGTTAATGTACCGTTCCAAAGTTCTCATAGAAGTAAACATACATACCTGTAATGCGCAGAACTAAATGCGAGAAGTAATGTCAACCACCCACGCGTTGTCCTCTCTAGTTCATAGCCGACTCCAAGAACGTGAAACTTAGGGTTAAACTAATTTGGGGGGGAAATGGTCGTTGAAGCGAGGTTATAAGAAATATAAACGACGCTTACAAAATGCTTACATGGATAATTGCAGCCACATCACTACCCATGTGAGCAATTAACCGGCAAACCGGGAGCACACCGACTAAAATGCGATTTTGGTTTTTTTTGTAAGTTGGGGGATTTAATTGGGGGATAATTAAGTAAGAGGGCCTAATTGACGTTTTTCAATAGTACGAGGGCCTATTTGATAGTTTTCCCTTTATGGAATGAATTTTTATATAAATTTCAGAACAAGAAATTTATGCAGAACGAGGTGGGAGTTGTTGATGTGGTGCATTGTGTGCGGTGAGACAATTGGGAAGGTTTAGAGATTTTCGCAAAGAAAAAATGGGCCAAACAATTGGATCAATTTGAATAGCCTGTTAGTTATATTGAAATTGATTGAATTGATTCAATCTGTTCAATTTGACAAAGTTTAATTGAAGCGACTACACTGGCTGAATTTGTTTAATTATAGAAAAAAATATTTAAAATCTTTTATTTATAAATTTAAGAAAAAATTAAAAATATTTTAAAACTATTCCTGAAATAAAAACTATTTACAAAAAATTGCTGAAATAAAAGTAATTTACAAAAACAGGACTAAAATTAATATGGATATAATGTCATGGTCACATGATGTGAAAATTGAATATAAGTTACGTGAAAAAGTAACTACTATAGTCACTACATTTAAGAGGTCATGTTTCACAAACAATCTTTATTTTAGTCATAGTCATGTAGTTGTCTCAGAAAATTATAGACGGGTCTTGATCAGTAACGATACACTTAGGTGCGTGTCCCATTGCATTTAGAAAACAACGGAACAACCAAAAATATGATTCAATGTCTTCTTTAAATAGAAGACCGGCACCAAATGTGACACATTTTTTGTGATTGTCGACACCGGTGAAAGGTGTAAAAACCATATTGTATCTGCAAAGAAAACTGCGTTAAGCTGATGTGCGAAGCTAGAATTTATTAAAGTACGTGTGCATAGAAGCAGAAATCGGTGTGCATAACATATTAAACGGATGAATAACATATTTTTGAAAGTAAACGCCAATTAAATAAGTAAATTAGTTGAGCACAAAATAGTGCTTACGAGTGCAGGCAGTTACATGTTTATAAAATAATCAAATGTTTGAAATTAAACATGGGTTTAATAATACTAATTAAACACAAATAAAGAAATGTGCAAAAATTAAATTACAAAAGTGTAGAACCTGTTAGTCCCATATGTAGCATCGAAAAAAGCACATCTTCAAAAAAATCACTCTCATCAACGTCATACTCAAAAATATATGCTGAACAAATTTCTTGCTTCCGAAAAGCTTATCAATTAGCATTTGAGCATCCACGCCGGAAATATATGCCTTCAAATCTCGCTTAAAGTTATTGAAATCAACCGTCGTTGCACCAATATTGCAATATCCTCCAACAGTTTCCTTGTACAGTCGGTATGATTTCATAGTTCCTATATTAGCCTTTGCACAATTGAGAACAAACTTTTGATGACCAAGATCAAGCTTCCTGTTTACTTTAAGAAACGGTCTGGCATCAAGAGACGACATAGGATGATTGTGGCGCTCTTCAAATAACGTAATAATCTTATGTGCTTTACAGCCAACACGGTTTGATACACGGTGACGCCTCTGTTTTTTTTCTCGGTGTCGGGAATAGCATGGGAGGATTCGGGATGCTCTGGAAAAACGTGAGCCTCTGCATCATCATTTGAACATTCAGTGTGTTCATCACTAACAACACTAAAAGGCATAACATGACTAGTTTCTGGAGGATTGACTTTAGCAATATTTTTGAAACCAGCTCTATTGCACACAACATATTTCCACACAATGGTGTCCGTCCTCGGCCGGCGATCCTTAGTTTGAGAACCAATACGAGAATCGAAGCCACAACAAGCTGCATATTGCTTATAAAACTCAATACCATCCTCGAGGGTTTTGAATACCATGTCAAGCTTTGGTTTAAATGATTCATCACATTCCGGGATCCAATACTTAGTTAATCCAGGAGAAATTTCTAAAGCTTCTACAAGAGTGAAAAAAACAAACATAAACGATGAATGACATTGGTTCAAGAAAACAAATGAAACAAAGAAACACGTAGAACAAAAGAAAGAAAGTTAAAAAACATACCTTTGTCTATTAATGGAGCTTCGGAGTTTTTGGGGAGGAAGAGACAGTCGTAGAGAAGCTGTAATTCACGTACATGGAATGGCCGGATGGCATCCATAACTGAAAAGGAAATAACTAAGACCTAATTAATTGACAAACAATAATGGAAAGAAACAATAGAATGGGTCTTGGCCGGATACCTATGTACAAAAAGAAAAAAAATGTCACAATGACCATCATGGCCTGCCCATTCTCACGTTAGAATTAAAAACAATGAGTTGATCTAATGGCCTGGATTGTTTCTTATTTATCTCATTAGATGGTGTTCTTATTTGAACCAAACTCTCTCTCTCTATATATATATATATAAATATATACCTTTACTTTGGAAATGAAAAAAATCTGTGTCACAATTATTCGTGCATCACGAGAGTGAATTACTAGCAAAACATTTTACTAAAAGAAAGGATTTTAACAGGGCGTAGTGCGGAACAGAAGGTGTTAATTCCCGAGTATTGCTTAAAACCTTCATATGTCAGCTTGACATTCCAATTCCGGATACGATAATACCCTAAAATGACTTAATATGTCATTATCGCGTGTTGGTTTGTTGTTCAAAAAACATGTTTAGTCATGATTAACTTTACGTGATTGTGTCTAGAGTAATCAATGATAGAGGAACGAACATTGAAACAAACATTTTTGTGTATAAAGAAGTATTTCTTATCATTTAGCATTACATTATGTGCGTTTCAAATTATATTTATAACGTATCACTGTGTGCTACTTACCATTTTATGGTGTTATAAAAATTTGTGTACTACTCCATAATCAACGATAAATCATTATTAGACATGTTTCATGGATATATCAAGTTTTATTTGATTAGGGGGTATAATACTAAATGATTAAATTAGAGTTACAAATTTGCATTTTTATACACATGATACATAAATCGTAATTTGTTTTTTATACACATGAAATTTCACCAACCGTGCATCGCACGAACATTTGTATGTTGCAGTATCAAGGGTTACCAATCCTTGTGGTTTGAAAGTTCTAATTGTTGATGAAGATGAAGAAACCACTGACAAGACTCAGAATGTTGTATTCAAAGAAGTGTTCAACAATGTTCAGGTTTACATGAAATACATATTTACAATGTTATGGTTTCTACGTATTTGTTGGATGTTTTTTATCTTTTAAGTAATGGTTAGTGCTCTCTTTTATAAGCGTGTTTCCTTCATTGCTTTGATCTACAACAATATTCCATAGAGACAGATGTTGTCATCAATTGATAGTATAATTTGAATCAGTGAGCACAAATAAATTTGAAAGAAAAATTCTTTGACCGTGCATCGCACGGGCGAGTTTACTAGTAAAAGTAAAAACACGTCCAAAATCTCCAAATAGGTGTACATGTTTTAAATCGTTAAAATATGAGTCACAATTACTTCTCTACCCCTTATTGTTTATCAACCTTCTTAGAGTTTGGAATTAGACTTTCTAGTGTTGATGACATATCCACTTAAACCTTAGCAGTGGCTACTTGACGGATATGATAGCGGTCGACGTCAGTCGGGAGTTAGCGGCGGCGGTGATGGATGCCCGATGGCACAAGCTGTCCCAAAAGGTATTTTTTTTAAAATTCATATACTATAATTTTATTCTGGGAATTTAGAACTTCTTATCATAGAGATCTAATAATCTCACATTTTAGCAGTCTTCTTACAATAGTCTCACATTACCGTAATTCAAGAATAATGTCATCTTTGCACCATATCCTTTGTCATCGGTCCGAGACCAATTGAGGACACAATATTTCAGGTTATTCTCTTTTCTTTTCAAAACATTAAACCAAAAATCTCACATTAACGAATCTTTTTCAAACGATCTCACGTGTCATTTTTCTTTTTTCTCCCTAAAAGTTTTCTCTTTTTATTTTTATCCCCTTGACTTTTCTATTCTTTTTTTCGTCTTTTTGTTCTTAATTTTATTTCTGTTCCATGTATGTATTCCATTTTTTCCTTTTTTTTCTTCTTTCCATTTATTATTTTATTTCCATTTATATATATTTTTTCGGATTAGTTCCCTTCTTATACAAGATTTTTTTCTCACATTACTAACGTTTTAGTTTACTTTCTTTTTTTACTTACACTTATTTTTTTTTCTTACCTTGATTCCACGACTAATATATTTTTCTCCTTTCCAAGAAAATCAAAGAAAAAATAGAAACAAGTAGTCGGGAAATAATTATTAAAAGAGGCTATAACATATATGAATACATAAAAGGAAGAAATTAAAAATGGAGGAGAAAAAAAGGAAAATCTATCGAAAGAAAATTCTATAAAAAACTCTTATGGTAAATGAATAAAGGAATATATAAACAAAGTAAATAAATGAAAAGAAAAAAGAAAAAAGGAGAATAAAAGCATGTGATGAAAAAGAAAAACAGAGAAAACTTTTAGGAAGAATGAAGAAAAATCACATGCGAGACCGTTCTACGAAGATTTGTAGAACGTGAGGTTTATGCTTTATTGATTTGCAAAAAGAAAAACAAAATAATCAGGAATAGCAGATCATCAACCGGTTAGGGACCAATGAAAGAAGATTGAGTGTAACGGTAAAATTATTTCTGAATTACGATTAGATGTGACAATTGTAAGAATAACGCTAAAAGGTTATTAGTTTCAAGTATTTCTTTGACTTTTATTTACTCTACTTAAACAAATAAATTAGTGTAGGTAATTGTTGGGTGTGTTTCGGAAAATAAAGAAAATTAATTAAAATAAATTAATTAAATAAAATGACTAGAGAAAAACAAGAAAGGAGATGAGGCAGAATTAGTCAAAGCTCGTGCTACGCACGATTTCCTTAAAACGTATTTGTTGCCTCCCACGGTGCTAGGAGCGTTGCAACAATCGTTTCCCAGGATACGATGACTACGAACTAATGTTTGAGCACACAAACAAGAGTTCCAGCGAACGAGAACCAAGTAAGAACACAGAAGGAATTTTTAGAGTAGCTGTAGGTGTTTTTAGCTCAATAAATTCGTGAGGAAAGTATTGTGCGTTGTGTCAAACCGTGTGTTTGTTGCAAAGCACCTGCCAGCTATTTATAGGAAGATTTGTTGTGTGTTAAATGGGTTGTTAATGGACCTGAACGTTGGACATCAATGACCAGTCCGTTGGGCATTTAATCGTCCATAAACTGTCCATTTAACGCAGCATTAAAAGAGAAGAACGTTGGGCATTAATTGTTGTAACGGAAGAAATGCGCGACAGAAGACCCCTTGAAGGGGTTCTGTCTGAAGCCAACAGAACACCCCTTGGAGGGGTTCTGTCCGAAGCCAACAGAACACCCCTTGGAGGGTTTCTGTCCGAAGCCAACAGAACTCCCCTTGGAGGGTTTCTGTTCGAGGCCTTCTGTCCGGAGCACTTCTGGGAAAAAATAAACGTTCGGGAAGAAAACAAAAATTAACCGTATCTCTTGAGAGATAGATTTTTGGACGGCATTCGTGTCCGCAGATCGCCCGCGCACACGAGTCACGGTTTTTCTTCTCCATTTCGGGATTTGATCGGCACCCCCCCCCCCCTCCGCGTAAGAGAGAGTCTTTCCCTTTAGGAATCTTAACTCCTTAAAAGAGGCCTCCCTTTATAAGGGGGTGAAAATCCCTTGAGTTTTTCGGTGTAGGATAAAACACACTAGAAACTCACCATTTTCCCAGTTTTTCCATTTCAACGAGTGAACTTCGAGAATCAATTTCTCATTCACCCGTTATCCGTTTTGAGTGTACCACATATCGAATTGTATCCCTTAACAAGGACAATCTGAAACCACTTTGACGCGACCCAAATCGGAAGTGGACCCCACTCAAATAATTGCCCCAAAATGACCATTTAATGCAATTTTTTAACACATTTTTCCAACAATCCCCCACATGAATGAAAATTGATTTTCGAGACTTAAAAGACACGAAGATAGGAGGACACGTTGTGTTCACCGGATAATCCTTGCATACAGAGAGGTAGGTTTTATCCTTTGAACCTTCCGTTGTAAAGACACGTTTATTTACTGGCTGTCTAGTAGACTCGATGTCCTTGAACTATACTGTCGTCGTGTAAACATTGACTTATCTTTACACAAGAACCTTCCAACTTTGTTCCGTTCTCATGGGTGTGCCCGTTTTGGCCATGGGTCACCGTCCTGGTTCCGCAAGAGTTTCTAAAGAACTGAGCCTTTACAGTTCTCCTTTGAAGCGGCCCTCTTCTCTCTCACATAGGTGATTCTTTCACGAGTCTCCCGCATACTCTTCCAATGTTATCGAGTAGATCAACATTTTAGAATCATTAAAGCAAACGTTTTTGCTAACCTCGTGCGGGAGTCACTGTTTTAACGAGGAGTGGGTAGGAGTCCGGGACCCCCACAGTGACCATCCTTTGCTCTATAATTTTGTTGTCCATTTTGAACCTAGGACCAACTAGGTTGGGTATCCACTATAGAACTTTTCAATTCACGGGCTTTAGTCTCATTCCTCGTGATAACTTCTCCAACAATTCTCTATCCAATCCCTTTAGGAATCTTTACTCCTTAAAAGAGGCTTCCCTTTATAAGGGGGTGAAAATCCCTTGAGTTTTTCGGTGTGGGATAAAACACACTAGAAACTCACCCTTTTCTCAGTTTTTCCATTTCAACGAGTGAACTTCGAGAATCAATTTCTCATTCACCCGTTATCCGTTTTGAGTGTACCACATATCGAATTGTAGCCCTTAACAAGGACAATCCGAAACCACTTTGACCCGACCCAAATCGGAAGTGGACCCCACTCAAATAATTGCCCCAAAATGACCATTTAATGCAATTTTTTAACACATTTTTCCAACAGTAATTATATAAACAACCTGCTAACTTAAAATTACATCAAAGTTACATTTACAAACAAGGATGCTTTTACTTGGACTGTAATTCCTCCCAGACCAGACCAGACCAGACCAGACCAGACTTGGATAGTTATAAAAATACAAAGAAACCAGACCAGACCAGACCAGATCAGACCAGACCTGCAAATTACAGTCCAAGTAAAAACATCCTAAATAGGTCAAGGTCAAATACGTACAAGA